GCTGCCGCCGCCGCTGCCACCACCTCCCAAGACGCAGCAACCAAGACCCGGCGCGGAGGAGCCGCCGCTGTGAACCGCGCTGTCCCGGCCCCCGCCGCCCGAGGAGAACGGGAGGCGGGCGAGAGAGCCGGGGAGTCGCGGAGCCCGCCCGTCCGTTCGCCGGCAGCGACGCCCTGCAAGGAGAGAAGCCGTAGCCCAGGTGACCGCCCCGCCGCCCCCTTCCGTCCCTGCGCTCCTCGACCGCCTTCCGCGCCCTCTCTTTTCCCCTCCCCCATTCCAGCGCCCCTTCCTTCCTCTTCTCCCCCTCGGCCCCCTCTCCCGTCCTTCTCCCGCCTCTCCTCCCCAGCATCGGCGGAGTCCGCGTCCCCTCTCCACTCTCAGCACCCCTCCCTCCAGCCCCTCGCGAGCCACAGACCCGCTTTCTCATACTCTCTTCCCCGTCCTGCGTCCGGATCAGAGCCCCCTCGGCCAGCTCCGGCGCCTCGGCAGAGGCCACCTCTCCACTGTCCCATCCTTTCCCTCGTTCCAGGGCCTCCAGATTTCCCTCTGCACCCCCTGCCTTCCTCAGATGCCCTTACTTCGGGGCTCTTCGTTTCAGCATCCCTTTTCAAGGCCTTTTGCGAGCTCGTCTCTGATCAGCCCCTTTTCCAGCTCCTTTTCTCCAGTGCCGATTTCCAACTTTTACTTCTTTTTGTGTGTTTGTTCACTTTGCCTCCAAGCTTTCCTCCGTATTTCCCTTCGCCTTACCCTTCTCTGGTCTATGCAGCCCCAAACTCAGCCCTCCCCTTTTATGCCTTTTGAGGTTGTTTGAGGGATGCCGAGAGGCCTGCCTAGCCGTTCTCCGAAAGGGGACCCATTGCTCTGCACTCCTTTTCGTCGGTCCCTTTTTACGGTAAGGGGGCCCCATCCCTTCTTTTTTGTCCCCACGTTTCCTCTCCCGCTTGCCATCTTTCTGCCCTCCCCCTCCACATCTGCTCTCCGCACCCAAGGCCCCCGAGACCCCTGCCCTCCCGTAAGGAATGAGTTCCCTTTCTGCTCGGGGATGATGAACTTCGCCCGCCTTTTTCTTCGGAAGCCTTTTAGTGTGTGGCACGACGGAGCCAGCACCTTCGGCAAGACGTGAGGGGAGCTCCCGGGCCTCTCCCCTGGCAGGGTTTTTGCTGAACGTAATCCCCTAGCCCCGCGGCGGGAGCGGCCGGGCTGCTGCTGCTGTTGCTGCATTGCTTGCTTTGCAGCGAGCTGGGTTGGGGTTACTACAGTTCAAACGCTTCTGAGCTCAGCAGGCGTAGGGGGAGGCGGTGCGGGAACAGAGGAAGGGGGCTTTGCAGTGAGAAGGCGTCAAAGATTAATGGATGGCTTTGCATCGCAGTCTGCAGTAAACAGGAAACCAGCTTGAAAGGAAAGAAGACTGTGTGTCTTTTTTTAAAAAAAAAACACGGAGTGTGCAGTTCTGTTGAATCTTGAATCATGCCCAAAAGGCTGAGCTGTCGGGGCTGCAGTCGTGACCCAGGCCAAGCGCCCAATGGCAGAGAGAGCGCTGTTTTTATTTCCTCTGTCTGGCTCCTTACGTTGAAGGATGTCCCGTGTATTCAGAATGTACTCCGTATCTTTGCTATTTTGAAGATGATGAAAAACTACTGAATACTAGTAGTTAATGTGGAATTCGAGTACATACAAAGTTAGCTAGCAACGATTGCAAGTAGGGAGGACTAGCTATAGTTAAAATATGTGCCAAATGCTTTTATGTAAGAGGTGCTTTCTCTTCCCGAGTGTCTTCAGTTTTTGGCTGAGTTTACTTATGATTTTAGGTTCTAGCTTTGCCTTCTGAAATGTTTTCAGGACTTAACCGTCCTAACAGATGAATAGCCAGAAGATCTGTGTGTCTCTTAAGATCTTTTTTAGCTGATGATACAAAAAAATTTTTTAAGGAGATTAATGTTGAATGAAGGAAGATTTTTGTTTTCCTTTAGATGGAGGAAAAAACTGTAGAAATTTTCTTGCCTAAATTAGTATTGTACCAAACAATTTTTAATCAAGTCATGTGACATTCTTATTTTTGCTTTTCCTTTTTAAAAGAGGTTATCTAGAATAGATGTGACTGCTGTGTGTGTGGTTTTCATTTGTAAGATTACCTTGTTTTCCATTTAGTTTAACTTAGTTCTTCAACAGAAACCTACTGTGGCCTGAAAAAGAAATACAAAAACCTTTTTTTATTTTTCAAGATTTGTTTGATTTCTTCATATTAAAAACCAACATATTGTGTTTTTGTGAAAATGTGGAATATGAGGCTTCTTGTGTTTTCTAGCCCACAAATATGAATGGTGAGCTGTGCAACGTTGTGTTTGTACGTGACATTACTGTGTATGTAAGTAGTGGTTGCTGCTTGCCAGCCTGGGAAAGTCATTTAATGAAATCATTGTGGTCCTATTTTTGGTTAGCATTTGTTGAGCCTTTCTTGCAGTTTTTGGAAAGAAATCTTTTTTTTTTAAAGCTGTTTTACTGTGTAAAGCATCTTTTAAGTTTGAGTTTATGATAACTTGCAAGACCTCGTGTTGGAATATTACTGTCTTAGTTCGGTTCATAGTTCAACGAGGAAATTTTAAGATTTGCATGGAAGGTAAAAAGTACTAAAACTTTGACAGGACAGGAAGTAGTTTACATATTTGCCTTTTGGGTATGTCAGGCCTTTTAAATTTTCTTTGCCTTCAGTTCTCCTGCTTATCTCTAGGATTGTTTGATGTTGTTTTGGTTTTAAGAGAATTTTGAGCTCTTTCTAACTTTAGAATATGCTCATTAGCTCTGTCTGACAATAAATGTAGGAAAATGATAAATTAGGCTTGAATCAAATTTAGTGGCATAACCTCTACCTCAGGAGACAAGGCTTCATTTTTTTTTCATGCCAGTAATGTAGTGATTTGGCAGGAGGTGTGCGTAATTTCGGGTATCTGCTGACAAGATAAATATTTCAAAATTTGGTTACTGAGTTTAGTGTGTGGTGCTAGTGTAATGGACAGTATTTATTTGTGGTAGCCAACACCATATCATGTGCCACTTCTACTTTAGAGAGGTTCAAAACTGTAAGGTGTTGAAAAAAGTGTGTGTGTGTTTTCCTTTCACAGCTCTTATGAATAACTTAATTTGATTTTTCCATGGATTAAATTTGCTTTTACATGACCAGTTTGCCAACGACTTGCTAAAATATCACTCACATACAACAGTAAATGAAACAGTGAGCAATAGGTTTATTATTGGGCATATTTCATTCTATCCCAAGGTTTTTCTTATTCAGACATTTGAGTCTTGAGTTTACTATGCAGTAGAGTTTGGAGGGAGCCCTGGTGGTGCAGTGGTTAAGAGCTTGGCGGCTGACCAAAAGGTCGGCAGTTCAAATCCACCAGCTGCTCCTTGGAAACCCTACGGGGCAGTTCTACTCTGTCCTATAGGGTCCCTATGATTTGGAACCAACTCGATGGCACCTAACAACAACAAGACTTCAGAGTTCTGTCTTTGTTCTTGGATATTGTTTTGTATCAACAGCTTTAGAGACCCAAGATTTTCTTTTTATCTTTGTTATATTTGTGAGGCGGGGGGAGCGATGGTAATTAAGAGACAACAGGTACCATTCTGCTAATGACCTTCTTTTGTAATAGAGGTGATCTTCAGTAAGCATTCCCTAGCAGTTCAGATCTTGATTTCTAATGCAGGGTTAGTTATTCGGTTAGTTAAAAACATTTTTTTTTAAACTCCTTTAAGAGCTACAATAAATGGTGAAGAGTGGATATGTTAAAAAAAAAATATTAAAAAGAGGCAGGCTCTTCAAATCAGATGAAATAAATATGGACCACAAGTAGTATTAACTTAGTAATAACACTTTCTGTTACTTACAAAAATAGAAGTAGTGATTTATATTGGATTCTAGAATATGGAAAAGTTACTTTTCTGTTACAGTACATAAAATATGTACAAATGTTGTCCTTGATGTTATTATCTCAGTACATACTAATTTTCATATACAGCTGGTGGCTCCTGAGAAAAATCACTCTTCCATGTACTGTGAAATAAACTCCCCAGAGTTGGTGGAGTTATTAGCTTGACCATTAGAGTAAGAAGTTATTTCCTCTGTATGTCCTTAGACACATTATAGTTTTTCCCAACAATTTATTTTTTTAAATTTTGAATTGTATTGTGTTTTAGGTGGAAGTTTACAGCACAAATTAGTTTCTATTCAAAGATTTTATACAAAAATTATTTTGTGACATTAGTTACAATGCCCACAATGTATCAGCACTCTCCCCTTTTCCCTTTCCGCTCTGGGTTTTCAGTGCCCATTCATCCAGTTTTCCTGCCCCTTCCTGCCTTCTTGTCTTTGCTTCTGGGCAGGTGTTATCCATTTGGGCTCATATACTTGAACTACGAAGTATGTTCCTCATGTGTGTTACTGTTTGTTTTATAGGCCTCTCTAATCTTTGGCTGAAGGTGGACTTCGGGAGTGGCTTCAATTCTGAGTTAGCTGGGTGTGTGGAGGCCATAGTCTCGGAGGTTCCTCCAGACACCGTCAGACCAGTAAGTTTGGTCTTTTTTTGTGAATTTGAATTTTGTTCTACATTTTTCTCCCGCTCAGTCCAGGACCCTCTATTATGATCCCTGTCAGAGTGGTGGTGGTAGTAGCTGACCACCATCTAGTTCTTCCGGGCTCATGCTGGTGGAGGCTGTGGTTCATGTGGTCCATTAGTCCTTTGGACTGATATTTTCGTTGTGGCTTTGGTTTTCTTCATTCTCCTTTGCTCTGAACGTATTGAGGTCAATAGATGTATCTTAGATGGCTGCTTGCAAGCTTTTAGGACCCCAGACACTACTCACCAAAGCAGGATGTAGAATGTTTTCTATATGAATGATGTTATGCCAATTGACCGATGTCCCCTGAGAACATGGTCCCCTGCCCTCAGCCCCAGTAACTCAGTCCTTCAAGGTGTTTGGATGTGTCTAGGAAGCGTCTATGACTTTGCCTTGGTCAAGTTGTGCTGACTTCCGCTATATTGTGTGTTGTTTTTCCTTTAACCAAAGTTAACACTTGTTTACTACCTACTTAGTGATTTGCGTTCCCCTCCCCTGGCCCCCTCTTAACGTTCAAAGATGGTTTTTTTCTGTGTGTAAACCTTTTCTTGGTTTTTTATAATAGTGGTCTTACACAATATTTGTCCTTCTATGATTGACTTATTTCACTCAGCATAATGCTCTCTAGATTCATACATGTTTTGAGATGTTTTGCAGATTCATCATTGTTCTTTATGGTTGTGTGGTATTCCATGGTGTGTATGTACCATAATTTGTTTATCTATTCATCTGTTGATGGGCACTTAGGTTGTTTCCATGTAGCTATTTTTTTAATCTCCTACCCTAATGATAAAAATAATAAATGCATATTCTAGAAAATTTAACAAACACAAATGGATAGAAAGAAGGGAATGAAAATCACCCCTAGCCCCACTATTGAAAGGATGTTACTGTGAATATTGTGGTGTGTTTCTTCTTGGAATTTTATTTTATACTAGGATGGGCTTTGAGAAATTTAGGTTCCTAAATACTGTAATTTGCAATAAATGTTGATTAGAGTTTTTTTTTTTCAATGCCTCTTCCTCCTTCGGACACAGCTATTTGTTTTTGATTCTCTCACAATGTTGTTTTTCTCTTATGTAGAAATATTGTTAAAACCATCTTGTTCATTTAAAATAATCAGAATAACAATATTTATAAAAACATTAATTTTTCATTATTTGTAAGATATATATATAAAATAATATCTGGGTCATAGGAATGATTAACTAATGATAGTTGAAAAATTTGTTGATGGTGTGCCAAGTTGAGCTGCCTTTAACTTCTAACTGTCCGAACTGGGAAGCTATGAAAATCAGAAAGTAAAATGGAAATACTGACAAATATTTAACCATAGCATAGCAATCTGTCACTGAAATTTTCTTCAGAAATAAATGTTTTCATTTGTCCTGAAATTACTGCCAAAGTTGGAAATGTGTTTAGCTTTCTCAGCAAAATTCTTAAAAGAACGTTGTCAGAGCCAACAATTCAGAATTATCTTTGCTCTTAAATTTGTGCTTTACCCACTTTTATTTGTTTGCTCCATTCCCTTTCTTGTAATTCCTTGCATTAATTTCCAGCTGTATCATAGAAAGCAGCATTGCACTGAACTGTCCTTTTAAATAGTAAATTTTCCAGGAGAACCTGATAACTGCCTTTCATTTCCTCCCCCCCTTTTTTTTTTCATTCTCTTACTTCTTATCAACATCTAAGCAGAGACAGAGGCTGCAGACTTATAGTGCCTGGCTTCTTCCATGTGCTAACCTATCTGTATTAAAGGAATAATTTAATGAGTGGTGGTGTTCTACTTTCAAGTCAAATTATGGGATTTCAGACTAAAAATTTAACTATTCAAGCAAACAGTATTGCAAAGAATGTTTACTTGTGTCTACATCGTGAGTTCTGTTGATTGTAAATTCACCAACTTCAGATTTGGTTATAGGTGAGTAAGGGAAAGGATAGACCATGAGATGCTGCAGACTGTGTAATTATCAAATTTTTATTAAATAGCTTAGGCTTTTTCATATAGCAAATATTTAAAAATTTGCCCTCTTTTAAAGAGCTATATAAATCTCAAATGATTTTATAGGAGTGAACTTTTCAAGTTAATTGGGCAAGTTATAAGTATTCTGGTGCTTTGTTGCTAAATGCCTAGATTTGAAGTTAATGAGTTTTTAAAAAATAAGTTTTGTGGCCTGGACGTTTAATCAGAATCATAAGATTTGGCAGACCTGAAAGTGTCAATGTGAAAAACACTGTAAAAAGCTTATTTTATAAATATCTAAAAGGAGTAGATGTGGCTAACAAGTTTTATACATTCTAGTATAGTTAATATTCAGTATGTGACAATCCATTAGAGTCATAAAAGGATATTTAAAAGCCAGTTGTGTTGACTTATTTTTATATATTGTGTCTACTGAATTTTAGGCCTGCTCCAAGGAAAAACAACATGGCTGCAAAGGAGAAACTGGAGGCAGTGTTAAATGTGGCCCTGAGGGTGCCAAGCATCATGCTACTGGATGTCCTGTACAGATGGGATGTCAGCTCCTTTTTCCAGCAGATCCAAAGAAGTAGCCTCAGTAACAACCCCCTTTTCCAATATAAGTATTTGGCTCTTAATATGCATTATGTAGGTAAGTGTCGACATCCACCTTTTCTAACCTTACAGTGGCACACTCTGATTTATTTTATTTATTTGTGTGTTTTTGAATTTGAGTAAAATGAGGTTCTGTTACATTGAGATGACAGTGTTATAGTCATTGATGTGTGTTTCTGAATCTTGTGTAGATTCTTAGCATTGCATATGAATTAATTATTAAGACTAGAGGAAAGCAGGCAGTGTTGGATTTATTTTAGATAAAACTGGAAGGCAGAAGAAAACATTTTAGATTTTAATATGGTGAAATGTAAATAATGAGGAATATTTTTTCAGGCATTTGGTCCATTCTAATTTGTCATTGTTTTGGATTTTGCTTTTTGAAATTTAGTATTGTTTACTGTTCTCTAAGACAAACTGGGGAACCCTGGTGGCGCAGTGGTTAAGCAGCTCAGCTGCTAACTGAAATGTCGGTGGTTTGAACCCACCAGCTAGCCATATGGTCCCGTAAAGATTATAGCCTAGAAAACCCTATGGGACAGTTCTACTGTGTCCTATAGGGTCATTTTGAGTCGGAATCAACTCAGTGGCACACAGGAACAAGACAAACTAAAACATATCAGTTGAATATAAAAAATTCATTTCGCTATGAAATGATACTATAATGTTTTCTTTCTTAAAAACAATACTCCTGGGACTGTAATTGAGATGCTTTGAGGTTATGGTAAAAGTAATGATGAGAGGTTAAAGAAATTAAAGTCAAGAAATACAGGCATGAAACAGATAAAATTCTTCTAGAATAAAAGTCATGCTCCTTAATTTATTGTTGTAGTGAGGATTGTTGTTGTTAGCTGCTGTTGAGGAGGCCACCAACTCGTGACAACCAGATTGTTGTGATCCTTAGGGTTTTCATTGGCAGATTTTGGGAAGTAGATTGCCAGGCCTTCTTAGTCTGTCTTCCTCTAGAAGCTCTGCTGAAACTCAGTCAGCATCACGACACCATGCAAGCCTCCACTGACAGACAAGTGATGGCTACACTTGAGGTACATTGGCTGGTAATTGAACCCAGGTCTCCCTCATGAGAGGTGAGAATTCCAGCTGAACTCCATTGTTGTAGTTTATATGTAATGATCGTAACACTATATTTTTAGTTAACAATGATACTGCATAACTCAAGATATGGTTTGAGTTGTGTATTATAGTGATGATAGTTTGAACATATTCCTCTAGGCCCTTTTATTATTAGAATTTTCCATCAGCAGGTATGCCTTATAAAATCCTTAAAGGGTTGTCTTATTTTTATGAGATTTCATTTTTGTCTATAAAAGGACTTTTTGGGTTCCACAGCTTAGCCCTGAGAACCCCTTACAGCTCTGAGAGTACTAGTAAGCCATTGTGGGAAGAAGTGTGGAATAGAAGAAGAAGCAGTGCACTAGAAGCAGAACACCTGGATTCAGTAAACTCTTTGTTAGATGGCACTACCTTGAGAAAGTCTGAAATGAGAAGGTTCCTTTATGCTGTAAAATGCTATAATTCTCAACCCTCTATGAAAGGCTTTGTATGTTAGCCAATTTATGGAAAATAATTCCAGTCTGTTGTAGAAGAACAATTGGGTACTTGGCTTAGATTTTTAGCTTAATCAGCAAAGTAATTCACACTGTGGTTTAAAAAATGTACTTATATTACTTCTGAATAGATTGAAATATTTATTATGATAACAGCTGTCTAATAACCAGAAACATTAATTTTAGGAATTGAATAGGTTCTAGTACAGTTGAAATTCATACTCTGGTTTATAACTTTAGGAACTCAACTGAGCCTTTTACAATATATTTATTATACTCCATGGTAGAGTAGAATTACAGAATTGTACCCTTACATATTTTTAAAAAATCTTAACTTTTAAAATAGGTAATGCATTCATATTAAAAAACCAAGAAGCATAAAAAGGTATGCTGTGAAAAATACTCCCTCCCATCTCTGTTCCCTATCCACTAAGTTCTCACCCCCAGCCCCAACAAGTAACTAATATTATTATTATGCATAATTTCAGAGATATTTTTATATATTTATCTCTAAGCAATTGTAAATCTATATTTTGTCTATTTTTTTATATAGATAATAGCATAATATACATCATCCTGACCTTGGTTTACTGTTTATTTTAACTTAATGTCTCGTAGAGCTATATAACTGCTGTTTTTAGATGAAATAAAGCTTTTTTCATGAAATAAAGGTTTGAACTCTTTTTTTCCCTTCATATTGACACTTGACACTTTCTTTTCTGCCAAATCTTAAGATTCTAATTACATGTTGGAGCCTGATTCCCCCCCCCCTTCTGTTTTACAGCTGCATACTATCCATGTATGGATATATTATAATTTATTGAACTAATTACCCTATTGGTGGACCTTTAGGTAACTTCTGTTGTCTGCTATTTCATACAGTGTTGCACTGAATAACTTTACGTAGCCATAATTTCAAAATATACTTAGACAGACTAGGGAGAAAGAGGCTGGCAATCTACTTCTAAAAATTAGCCAATTAAAAATTAGCCAATGAAAGTCGTATGTATCCCAACAGAATATTGTCTGATACAGTGGTGGAGGATGAACCCTCTAAGTTGGAAGGCACTACACAATAGTTGGAGGAATCCCTGGGTGACACAAACGATTGAGCACTTGACTACTGGCTGAAAGGTTGGCGATTAGAACCCACCCAGAAGCACTTCAGAAGACAGGCCTGGCAATCTGCTTATGAAAGGTCACAGCCTTGAAAACCTTATAGAGCAGTTCTGCTCTGCACACACGGGGTTGCCGTGAGTTGGTAGTTGACTCGACAGCAACTAACAACATCAGAATATCTGGAGGTAAGAAGACCAGTTAGGATTTTGAGCAAGAGGCAATGAGAGCCAGAACTAGGTGGTAAAGAGTCATTTCTATTGAAACTGTACTCACTAAGATCATTAATGGCCTAAAATGTAAAACTCAAGCCTCATTTTAGTCCTCATTTTGTGGACCTTTCCATGTTTATAAAGCTATTGGCCACTTCCCTTTTCTTGAAAGCATTTCTTTCCTGATTTTTCTCCTAACTCGCTGACCGTTCCTTCTGACTCTTTTACTAACTTTTTTTTACACCTCTTCTTAAGTGTTAATATCACCCAGAATTTGTGTTCAGTTTTCTTCTGTTATTTGAATGATTCACATAGTTTTGGCTGCAGATCTTGAACTTTACTTTCCACTGCTTTCTTGATCATGTTAGTCTGGAGTTGGTGTTCCTCGTCTATGATCCATGGCACTTGGTTCATACATCCACCAAAGAGCTTCATATGCTGTATTCTAAGGGTTCATGTGCTTATCTGTCTTTCCAACTAGATTGTGAGCTCCTTTAAAGTAGGAAGGGGATTGTCTATTATCTATCTCCTTTAAGGTAAGAAGGTTGCCTACTGTCTCCTTTGATATAGCAAGGGGGTTGTCTCCTATCTCCTTTAAGGTAGCAAGGGGATTGCCTACTGTCTCCTTTAATTAAGGTAGCAAAGGGATTGTCTGCTATCTCCATATCCTAGTACTTAGCTAGTGCCTGATACCGAATGAATTTCTAATGCCTGTTAGATATCTCCACCTGAATATCCTATAGATACTTCACTCTATATCAGTCACTGAATTCATTACTTTTACCTCATCTCAAACCTCCTCCTCCTCCTCCTGTTTTCCTATCTTACTTGATAACAAAGCTATCCGCTTGATTACCCAAGGTAGAAACATCAGAACCATCTTTATTTCCTTGTTTTTAACCACTCACCCATAGATCACCGCTAAGACCTTTTTAAATATGTCTTATAGCTGACCCAGCCAACCCCATACCCAAAGCTACTGCTTTAATCCAGGCTTTCATTTTTTTCCCATTACTACAGTAACCTTTAATTAGCAGACGTTATTATTATAGGAGAAATTCCTGCATTTTGTAGGAACGTTCATCATTGTTTTTTTAAGTAGGTCATCATCATTTTTAAATGCTGCTGGTCTTGCTTTTTAATTATAAATTATTGTTGAGTTAGCTTCATTGTTACCAATTTAGCTTGTTGTGGGTTGTTTGGTTAATCCTGTAGTGTGAATAAAAACCAAAACCAAACCTGTTGTCTTCAAGTTGATTCTGACTCATAGCAACCCTATAGCAACCCTGTAGGACAGAGTAGAACTGCCCCATAGGGTTTCCACGGAGTAGCTGGTGGATTCAAACTGCTGGCCTTTTGGTTAGCAGTTGTAGTTCTTAACCCCTGTGCCACCAGGGCTCTGTAGCATGAATAGCGATGGATATTTATTTACATCAGCATTTTTGGTTTTATATTTTTCCTGTGATAATTATATATACATTGTAGTTCAAATGATTCATTCATACTATTTGTGTTTTAGCATAAGTATTCATAAAACCAAAACACATTGCTGTCAAGTTGATTCCGACTCATAGTGACCTTGTAGGACAGAGTAGAATTGCCCCATAGAGTTTCCAGCGAAAGCTTGATGGATTAGAACCGCTGACCTTTTGGTTAGCAGCTGAGCTCTTAAGCATTGCGCCCCCAGGCTCCCAAGTATTCATGATTCCTCAAAAAAAATCTTCTTATATAATATACTTGATTGTTACCAGAATTATTTTTCCACTGGAATGTAAAAATGGTGGTATGGGTGAGCCATAGGTTTTTTCTTTTTAACTGTTGTTTTTGTTTGTTTATGTTTTCAACTCTCCTAAATGGGCATCTAAAGAATTTGAGAATGCTAGCCCAGGGGGTTAAAGTTTAAATTCCTTACTGTTGTATACAAGGCTTTCTGTTGAAGCTTTAACCACTAGCTTGATCAGCATCATGTCGCAATACCATTTCTGTTTACACCAAATTCTAGACTAGACTACAGAAATTTGCTGGCCCCTGGAAATATCTTTTTGTGCTTTTATGGATTTTGTACTTGCTCTTTTCTTTTCCCGCCACTCGTCTGTCAGTTTGTCATACTGTGGTGGCTTGTGTGTTGCTGTGATGCTGGAAGC